AGAATGTCAGTATATTTGTACGTTCTGTGCTTTGTAAAGTATCGAAATAGCATGGTCTTAAACGTCCGTATTCACCTTTCGATTATATTTGCCTTCGTATCGTTTTGAGTGGTAAAATAATGAATGTGTTCAGTATCTTGATAGGTATTTTTACCAATCCCGCTAGATCGATCCATATATTTGCCAACTCCATCCTTGCAGTTTTTCCTAAAGATCGCATTATTAAACTCTCCACCTTTGCCTGTCCGAAGTTTGTGAGGCACTCCACTTCTTTGGACAATTTTCTTGAAAGCGTTTAAAACTTCTTTTGCCGTTTTGTTTTTCAGAGGTTCAATCCATAGATGTCGACTGAAGTCGTCAATAACCATCAAGAGATATCGCACTCCCGAATTATGTTTGGATAGAGATGTCATGTCTGCCAAATCAGCATCGTACTGTTCACCTGGTCCGCCAACTTCAACACGTGCACGTTTAAAAGAACGTCTAACTGGTTTTTGTAAACTATAATCATCAAGACTCTGTATATATCTTCTGATCTTATGTATACCGAGGGTTTTAATACCTTGCGATTTCAATATTTGGTGAACCTTTACGGGGCTGAGAAATGCACCACCATTCTCCAAATTATAATATACGTCATCTATAAGCCGTCTCTCTTCCTCAGTCAACATATTTGATAATAATGAGACAAAAACATTTATGTACAAACTTTTATTAACATGGATACATATTACAACGTTTTGTGAAACCAATCTTCTACACGATTCATGGACATGACCATCATACCGACTTTCTCTTTCCATTTTTCTGTTTTAAGTTCATTACTTCTCCATTTGGCATTACATAATTGTGAAATGAAAGCATTTCTAGCACTTCTCTGGATTTTAAAACGAACAGTCTCTTGAATAAAGTCACGAATCACTTTAATATCATCCACCTGAATAAATGCATCCATTATATCAAACTGCCTTTCACTTATGATTTCTCGAACATGATATGCATATATTAGTTGTAATAAGTTATCCATTTTGAGGAATTCTGAGGAATTCTCACAAGGAAAAGTATCACTCATTTTGCGTTGCACGTCGATATATCCTATCCAAATTGGGTGGGTGAGGTAAAACACAATGACGATCAATACACTCCACAGAAAAGTTTTTATGTTCCCAATATTTCAGTGTATTTCCACACTTATAACAAGTAACGTAATCACCGACACAGTCGTGAAAAAATCCGTCTCTAGCCAACTGATAAGGAGTCTGACGAAGTTTACAACCCCACTGAGAGAATGTCACCAGCCGATCGGTACAGCTCGTCATGTATAGGTGAACTGGGCGAGTGATACCAGTGTTCATCTATAAGTAGAATGAATAGATACGTTGCTAATAGTGTTACTCACTTGTTTGTCTACAATAAGTTGACCATCACATCTAAATGTCTTTCGAGTGTTCATTCAATTATACGTCTACTATCTATAAATCAAATGAAGAGACATGTCTGAACTTCACCGATTTTCTTCACGTAATTCTTTTTTTTTTCGCTATAATTTTGTTTCACATAGTTCTCGTCCCTCAAACGTTCGTCTTGCATGAGATATTGTAATGTATTCGAAGGTATACAAGATTGAATGGAAAACTCGCGCCAAGTCTTTTCCACTTCCAAATGATTTGTAAATGTCAATGCTTCATCAAAATGTAGGTCTATAACGACAGCATTGGAATACATCAGACATTCATGTTCATGTTGACTAGCTCGACGATTCTCACAACCTAAACATACGAATAGTTCTCTTATTTTTGATTTTACAACGTATGCATAAGAGAGACACAGCAGATTTTTTAGTAGTCTCCGATAGGTCTTTTCTTCGGTTTTTTTAATCAAATAGTTTTGCAGTCTTTTATCTAGCAAGTCTGTGTTTAATTCCATTATTGCACATGTACGTATTGGTATGATAACGTAGCTCTACATATTTAAATGACGAACATCATATGTTGAAACAGACAGTCTTTTGACCATCTCGCATGCTCTGTTTTGATATCATCAAAATAGTTCCAATTTTTCAACGAAACACCACACATGAAACACGAAACACGATCTTCAATACCAGTGTAGAAAAATCCGTTACTGGCGAGTTGCTGTGGAGATTGATGGTGATGTTTAGACCACTTTTTGTAGGTATCCAGCCGGTTACAACATTTGATTAATGATGGATAACACGGTTGTATCACATTAGTGTTTATAGTATGTGGGGCGCTGTCTGTAACGTTGTCCATGGGTTTTAACTTTCAACAATTGCGCAGATTAATTGTAAACTCTCCGACACTGACAATATCCTTTTTAAAAGTTCTAGTGATATAGTTATTTTCTTTCCTTCTTCTTTTAAATAAACGCTTACCTTGTTTTTCAACTGTTTAAAAGTGATTTCTTTATGAAGTCCTAAATAGCAATCCACTTGGTTAGAAGAAACGTTAGCGATTGAAATATCAGCGTTCTTGACGGTGTCGATGAGAGCTTGAGCCATGTGAGGTAGTGATATGTCTCTTGATCATATCTCTGACTTATATAGTATATGCTGGTAGGAGCAATGTGTAAGAGCAATGTGAAAGAGCAATGTGCAAGAGCAATGTGAAAGAGCAAGGAGTGAAGACCCCCAAAACTACCCTACTGTGATGCGTAACCTTACCTGTATACAAGAATTTTTGTCCGTTTAGCACTAAAACTTCAACGGAAAAAACACTTTATCACTTTTACCAAAGCCGGTTCTTCTCATACATAGCATGCTCTAGTTGGTACGTGTAAAGTTCAAGTAATTTAACAAGTAATCCTCTGTCAGTGGCGTATCGTAAAGGATTCTTCGTATCTTATTCTTTTCTCTTTGTGTTTTTACTTTTAACAGGGTGAATAGTTTCCCGTCCACGCTGAACGTGTTCTGTACACATTCAAGTCTGTAAGCCTGGCGTAACCTGTCCTGGTTGTACTTAGTGAGGTCCTCTGACACTGTATACTGGGATCCCTTAGAACACTCCTGGAACCTAGAACATCATGGGTTTTTTATTCTGTGGGTGAATTTAACTATCACACTTCTCCTTTTACTGGTATTAAATATATCGAGTCTGTGCGCAATGTCTATTTCCTCGATTTATGGTTATATCGGCCCAAGGTAAAAACGGCCTCGATTTACCCAAGTGAAATCGGCCTAAGGTAAAATCGGCCCAATGTATACATGGAATATACATAACATTTATAATAATCCCTTTCTCTGGGTTTCATTTATATATCAACCTCTGAACATATATATTTAAATTAATAAATTCCTTTCTGCATTTCCTTGTCTCAGTCGCGAGTTCCACAAGGGGAGGTAACCTGTACTAATGTAATCTGTAATATACGTCGCGTAAGATAGTTATCATTTTGTGTGTAATCTGAAACACTGACATTATTTAGTTAGATTTAATTATTCAAATGATTTTTTTATATGATTAATGAGGAAGTTAGCCGATGCATACAGTTTTTTTTCTTTAAAAACTGTATAATACAAGGTCAGAGTACCGTCAGAGTCCTTTGGTCATCAGTAGTAACACTGACCGAGTTATAGTAATACAAGGTCATAGTGCCGTCAGAGTCCTATGGTCATCAGTAGTAACACTGACCAAGTTATAGTAATACAAGGTCATAGTGCTGTCAGAGTCCTATGGTCATCAGTAGTAACACTGACTGAGTTATAGTAATACAAGGTCATAGTGCTTTCAGAGTACTATCGTCATCAGTAGTAACACTGACCGAGTTATAGTAATACAAGGTTATAGTGCTGTCAGAGTACTATGGTCATCAGTAGTAACACTGACCGGGTTATAGTAATGCAAGGTCATAGTGCTGCCAGAGTCCTATGGTCATCAGTAGTAACACTGACCGGGTTATAGTAATGCAAGGTCATAGTGCCGTCATAGTCCTATGGTCATCAGTAGTAACACTGACCGAGTTATAGTAATACAAGGTTATAGTGCCGCCAGAGTCCTATGGTTATCAGAAGTAACACTGTCCGAGTTATAGTAATGCAAGGTTATAGTACCGCCAGAGTCCTACGGTCATCAGTAGTAACACTAACCGAGTTATAGTAATACAAGCTCATAGTGCTGTCAGAGTTCTATAGTCATCAGTAGTAACACTGACCGAGTTATGGTAATACAAGGTTATAGTGCCGCCAGAGTCCTATGGTTATCAGAAGTAACACTGTCCGAGTTATAGTAATGCAAGGTTATAGTACCGCCAGAGTCCTATGGTCATCAGTAGTAACACTGACCGGGTTATAGTAATACAAGGTCATAGTGCTGTCAGAGTCCTATGGTCATCAGTAGTAACACTGACCGAGTTATAGTAATACAAGGTAATAGTACCGCCAGAGTCCTATGGTCATCAGTAGTAATACAGACCGAGTTATAGTAATACAAGGTCATAGTGCTGTCAGAGTTCTATGGTCATCAGTAGTAACACTGACCGAGTTATAGTAATGCAAGGTTATAGTGCCGCCAGAGTCATAACGGCCATCAGTAGTAACACTGACGAACACCCATTTTAAAGCAGGGACAAATATTCCGGACGGCTAATAGTTGTTTCAGCGAGTAAACAAGAATTTTAATCAAATTCAAATGCATGCATATTTGTACAATGTAAACATACTACGGGTCGTAAATATACCCAGCAATATATGTCGTATTAACACTAGGGGTTGCCACATGCCATGTATTCACATATATCAGTAAGTGTAAAATCTTAAACCTATGAGTTACTTGATTAGAATGTTTTGATTTGTTTCATTTCGTGGCTGGTGTACTGAGGTTGGTAAGGTTACATTTACTTATACACTACCACGTATATCTCGACTAGATATAAAGTCTCGTTCAACCAGACGCTTGATCACGTGACAACAAGAGTCTGGTTGAACGAGACTACTGGATATAATACACACACTGATGTGTTGTGATGCATAAAACGAAGATTACGTAAGATAGATGTCAACGGTTCTCCGGTCATATCAGAATTAAAGTACCAAAACGATGGCTTCACGAAATGGTAAGTACGCATGCACTGGAGGGAGGAATACAAATATCAAAGGCTTAAATTAATATTATAGATTATTGTGGCGGTCATTAATAGGCTATAGCTTCTTTCTTATAAAATTGTGAGTAAGAAGTAAAAGTCAGTAAGGTTTCATTATCAACCGATTCATTTCAAAATTTATTGGGACGTATTAAGTATTTTTTAGAACTAGATTAGGAGTTTCTCACTAAGTTCTACTGTATTTATCACTTAAAACTGAAAAAAGAATATTTATTAAGTAAGATACTAATTGAAGGATCTTTTTTATTGTCTAAGAAATAATCAACGTATGTACGTGAATTAAGGTGGAATTTATAACAAAGGTAAGAAAATGTATAAATAATCAACGTATGTACGTGAATTAAGGTGGAATTTATAACAAAGGTAAGAAAATGTATAAATAATCAACGTATGTACGTGAATTAAGGTGGAATTTATAACAAAGGTAAGAAAATGTATAAATAATCAACGTATGTACGTGAATTAAGGTGGAATTTATAACAAAGGTAAGAAAATGTATAAATAATCAACGTATGTACGTGAATTAAGGTGGAATTTATAACAAAGGTAAGAAAATGTATAAATAATCAACGTATGTACGTGAATTAAGGTGGAATTTATAACAAAGGTAAGAAAATGTATAAATAATCAACGTATGTACGTGAATTAAGGTGGAATTTATAACAAAGGTAAGAAAATGTATAAATAATCAACGTATGTACGTGAATTAAGGTGGAATTTATAACAAAGGTAAGAAAATGTATAAATAATCAACGTATGTACGTGAATTAAGGTGGAATTTATAACAAAGGTAAGAAAATGTATAAATAATCAACGTATGTACGTGAATTAAGGTGGAATTTATAACAAAGGTAAGAAAATGTATAAATAATCAACGTATGTACGTGAATTAAGGTGGAATTTATAACAAAGGTAAGAAAATGTATAAATAATCAACGTATGTACGTGAATTAAGGTGGAATTTATAACAAAGGTAAGAAAATGTATAAATAATCAACGTATGTACGTGAATTAAGGTGGAATTTATAACAAAGGTAAGAAAATGCTGGCACAAATATTAGACTGTTGAATATTTGTATGTAAAGTTGGTATTTATCTCGTATGTATTGATGTTGTATATTTATATGTAAAAATGGTATATATCTCGTATGTATTGATGCTGTATACTTGTATGTAAAGTTGGTATATATCTCGTATGTATTGATGTTGTATATTTGTATGTAAAGTTGGTATATATCTCGTATGTATTGATGTTGTTTAATTGTATGTAAAGTTGGTATTTATCTCGTATGTATCGATGTTGTTTATTTGTATGTAAAGTTGGTATATATCTCGTATGTATTTATGTTGTTTATTTGTATGTAAAGTTGGTATTTATCTGGTATGTATTGATGTTGTTTATTTGTATGTAAAGTTGGTATGTATCTCGTATTTTGTATGTAAAATTGGTATTTATCTCGTATGTATTTATGTTGTTTATTTGTATGTAAAGTTGGTATATACCTCGTATGTATTGATGTTGTATATTTGTATGTAAGTTGGTTTTTATCTCGTATGTATTGATGTTGTTTATTTGTATGTAAAGTTGTATATATCTGGTATGTATTGATGTTGTTTATTTGTATGTAAAGTTGGTATTTATCTCGTATGTATTGATATTGTATATTTTATGTAAAGTTGGTATGTATCTCGTATGTATTGATGTTGTATATTTGTATGTATGTTGGTATATATCTCGTATGTATTGATGTTGTATATTTGTATGTTAAGTTGGTATATATCTCGTATGTATTGATGTTGTATATTTGTATGTATGTTGGTATATATCTCGTATGTATTGATGTTGTATATTTGTATGTTAAGTTGGTATATATCTCGTATGTATTGATGTTGCATATTTGTATGTAAGTTGGTATATATCTCGTATGTATTGATGTTGTTTATTTGTATGTTAAGTTGGTATATATCTCGTATGTATTGATGTTGTTTAATTGTATGTAAAGTTGGTATTTATGTCGTATGTATCGATGTTGTTTATTTGTATGTAAAGTTGGTATATACCTCGTATGTATTGATGTTGTATATTTGTATGTAAAGTTTGTATATATCTCGTATTTATTGATGTTGTTTAATTGTATGTAAAGTTGGTATTTATGTCGTATGTATCGATGTTGTTTATTTGTATGTAAAGTTGGTATATACCTCGTATGTATTGATGTTGTATATTTGTATGTAAGTTGGTATATATCTCGTATGTATTGATGTTGCATATTTGTATGTAAGTTGGTATATATCTCGTATGTATTGATGTTGTTTATTTGTATGTAAAGTTGGTATGTATCTCGTATGTATTGATAATGTATATTTGTATGTAAAATTGGTATTTATCTCGTATGTATTTATGTTGTTTATTTGTATGTAAAGTTGGTATTTATCTCGCATGTATTGATGTTGTATATTTGTATGTAAAGTTGGTATTTATCTCGTATGTATTGATGTTGTATATTTGTATGTAAAGTTGGTATATATCTCGTATGTATTGATGTTGTATATTTGTATGTAAAGTTGGTATTTATCTCGTATATACTGATGTTGTATATTTGTATGTAATGTTGGTATTTATCTCGTATATATTGATGTTGTATATTTGTATGTAAATTTGGTCTATATCTGGTATGTATTGATGTTGTTTATTTGTATGTAAAGTTGGTATATATCTGGTATGTATTGGTGTTGTATATTTGTATGTAAAGTTGGTATTTATCTCGTATGTATTGATGTTGTTTATTTGTATGTAAAGCTGGTATATATCTGGTATGTATTGATGTTGTATATTTGTATGTAAAATTACTATATATCTCGTATGTATTAGTGTTGTATATTTGTATGTAAAGTTGGTATTTATCTCGTATGTATTGATGTTGTATATTTGTATGTAAAGTTGGTATATATCTCGTATGTATTGATGTTGTATATTTGTATGTAAAGTTGGTATATATCTCGTATGTATTGATGTTGTATATTTGTATGTAAAGTTGGTATATATCTCGTATGTATTGATGTTGTATATTTGTATGTAAAGTTGGTATATATCTCGTATGTATTGATGTTGTATATTTGTATGTAAAGTTGGTATATATCTCGTATGTATTGATGTTGTATATTTGTATGTAAAGTTGGTATATATCTCGTATGTATTGATGTTGTATATTTGTATGTAAAGTTGGTATATATCTCGTATGTATTGATGTTGTATATTTGTATGTAAAGTTGGTATATATCTCGTATGTATTGATGTTGTATATTTGTATGTAAAGTTGGTATTTATCTCGTATGTATTGATGTTGTATATTTGTATGTAAAGTTGGTATATATCTCGTATGTATTGATGTTGTATATTTGTATGTAAAGTTGGTATATATCTCGTATGTATTGATGTTGTATATTTGTATGTAAAGTTGGTATTTATCTCGTATGTATTGATGTTGTATATTTGTATGTAAAGTTGGTATATATCTCGTATGTATTGATGTTGTATATTTGTATGTAAAGTTGGTATTTATCTCGTATGTATTGATGTTGTATATTTGTATGTAAAGTTGGTATATATCTCTTATATATTGACGTGTTTATTTATATGTAAAGTTGCTATAAATCTCGTATGTATTGGTGTTGTATATTTGTATGTAAAGTTGGTATTTATTTCGTATGTAATTATTTTGTTTATTTGTATGTAAAGTTGGTATTTATCTGGTATGTATAGATGTTGTTTATTTGTATGTAAAGTTGGTATGTATCTCGTATGTATTGATGATGTATATTTGTATGTAAAGTTGGTATTTATTTCGTATGTAATTATGTTGTTTATTTGTATGTAAAGTTGGTATTTATCTAGCATGTATTGATGTTGTATATTTGTATGTAAAGTTGGTATTTATCTAGTATGTATTGATATTGTATATTTTATGTAAAGTTGGTATGTATCTCGTATGTATTGATGTTGTATATTTGTATGTAAAGTTGGTATTTATCTCGTATGTATTGATGTTGTATATTTGTATCTAAAGTTGGTATTTATCTCGTATGTATTGGTGTTGTATATTTGTATGTAAAGTTGGTATTTATCTCGTATGTATTGATGTTGTTTATTTGTATGTAAAGTTGGTATATATCTGGTATGTATTGATGTTGTATATTTGTATGTAAAATTGCTATATATCTCGTATGTATTAGTGTTGTTTATTTGTATGTAAAGTTGGTATTTATCTCCTATGTATTGATATTGTATATTTGTATGTAAAGCTTGTATATATCTCGTATGTATTTATGCTGTGTATTTGTATGTAAAGTTGGTATTTATCTCGTATATACTGATGTTGTATATTTGTATGTAATGTTGGTATTTATCTCGTATGTACTGATGTTGTTTATTTGTATGTAAAGTTGGTATATATTGTATACTTGTATGTAAAGTTGGTATATATCTCGTATGTATTTATGTTGTTTATTTGTATGTAAAGTTGGTATTTATCTCGTGTGTATTGATGTTGTATATTTGTATGTAAATTTGTATGTAAAGTTGGTATATATCTGGTATGTATTGATGTTGCATATGTGTATGTAAAATTGCTATATATCTCGTATGTATTAGTGTTGTTTATTTGTATGTAAAGTTGGTATATATTGTATACTTGTATGTAAAGTTGGTATATATCTCGTATGTATTGCTGTTGTATATTTGTATGTAAAGTTGGTATATATCTGTATGTATTGGTGTTGTATATTTGTATGTAAAGCTGGTATTTATCTCGTATGTATTGATATTGTATATTTTATGTAAAGTTGGTATGTATCTCGTATGTATTGGTGTTGTATATTTGTGTGTAAAGCTGGTATATATCTCGTATGTATTGTTGCTGTGTATTTGTATGTAAAGTTGGTATTTATCTCGT